TCGCCTTGAGCGCATCAAGGTCGGCAGCACCAAGCACAATGTCCACAGCTGTCAGGCTCTGTCGCGTCACATCACCAGCAACGAGCTGGCGCGTGTGCTGCACTGCACCGCCATTGACACCATCAGCGTCCTGCACGACAACGCGGGTCACATTCAAAGCAGCCGCCTGCACTGTTTCGTCAAATGTCAGCTGCAGCAGCCCGCCGTTGACGCCGTGGTTCAGGCTCAGGCTGAAGCTCACCAGCGCCGGGGCACGCGTGTCGCTGACATACGTGTGTGCCTGCACGCTGTGGCTGTCCACAACGGCGTTGTCGCTGGTATCGGTGAGGGCGCCGGCCTCCACCAGCAGCCAGCTTGTGTCGCCGCTCAAGAGCAGCGGCGCCGCATCCTTGATGCTGTTCATGTCGGAGACGTCGAGGTGGATCACCGCCACCCGCGATGCACTCACGCCCTCAAAGTTGCCCAGTGCAGCCACGTCCGGCACAAGCTCCACGCGGCAGGCGCTGCTCAGCCTGTGCGATGCAAAGGCGGTGCTTGCAGCCTGCGTGCCGTTTGATTGCACAACGAGACGGGTCACGTTGATGCTAGCGGTGAGGACGGGCTCGTCAAACGTCAGCGTGAGCTGCCCTTGCTGCATGTCGACCGCCAGGCCCACCAGCGCCGGCGCCACCGTGTCCCCAGCAAATGTGGAGGCGCGCAGGGCGCTTCCGTCCACAACGGGCTGCACGGGGTTGCCCTCCAGGTCAGCAAAGGCTGTGCTGGAGACGGTGAGGTAAGTGGTGTTGCGCGAGGTGGCCAGCTCGGGCCGCAGCTTGAGCGCTGCGAGATCGTCTGCGCCGAGCGACACGACAAGGCGGGTCAGGTTCACCACGCCTGCCGTGCTGCCAACAACAGATGCCGTCGGCGCGCGAAGTGCCACCGACCGGCTCGTGTCCAGGCGCGTACGTGTTGGATGGTGCTGTAAACGAAGCCCTTGCAATGACGCAGGCGCCGCGACTGGTTCATTCAAATGAAGCGTCAGTTGTTCCTTGACGAAATCCACGTCAAATCCCACAATGCCTGGCCCAGTGGTATCAGGGCCTGCTGCAATTGCAACGGCTGTGACGTTATCGAATGCATTACCGGCCATATCCAAGTTGTTGGCGGCCAGCGTGATGTTGGGCGTGAGCCCACGCACCAAGATTGCCGCCTGCAACTCTGCAAATGCCTCAATGTTGAGGTCGCACTCAAAGTGGGTCACGTTGTTCTGGCGCATGCCACTCTGACATGGGTTCTGCGTCGCCTTCCGGCCTCCAAGAGCGAGCGTGAGTCCCGATGGCAACGTTTGTAGTGGCTCACTAACATGCAACTCAAGCACAGCATCGTTACGTCGCAGGTGGGCAGAGATGAGGCGGGGATTGGTGGTATCTGGGACAAACAACACTGCCGGCTGCGGCCTCAGTGCGGACACACGCGACACCTGGTTCCCATCCAGTCCCTTTGCAAAATCAGGCGTGAGCGATACAAACGAAGAGTCTAAGGAGACGGCGACGCGCTGGGTGACGAGCTTGACAAACTCGAAATGTGTCAACTGCACAACGAGCGACTCATTGGCAGCAGCCACAACAACGCTGTTTGTCAGCGACACCTCGACGGCGCCGTTAATCAGCGTCAACTGGTCAGGTCGAATCGTGCTGGTATTGAGTGCTTCAGAGAAGCGAAGGGTGACTTGTTGAGTATTCAGGTCCATCTCAAACTCGACCAAGCTGGGCGAAACCGTGTCGGGCTCAATAATCACTGTGAGCGTTGTCGTTTGGACTGGATTTGAGCTGACGTCCACCAGTGCGCCTGCAAGAATGCGACACTGAATTGGCCTGAGCTTGGCCTGAAAGACCCACCGTCTCAACAGATTCGCTTCCTGGAGTGTGAAGGAGTAGACGAACCCGAAGTCAGTCTGCTTGATGGCAGTGATGCTGTGGTTTGCCAACACCAACTCGCCTTGTTGCTCCGCTGCAAGGGATACTGCGGAGATGGCAAGCGCACTCGGAATAGTTAACACAGGCTCAGCCATGACGAGCTCCAGGGAGTCTGTGCTGAGACGGAGATAGATTGCGTCGACCTCCGGTACGGTCGCGTCTCCCGTGAAATGGCGCACGTCAAGGCTGTACACGGGAACCATGGTATTTGGTGTTAGCTCCTCATCGACAACAGCAGGGGTACGGCAGCTCAAGGACGAGGCATTCGTGAGACCTATACGACTGAGCTGCATGGCTTGGATGGAGTCTGGGATAATGCTGAGGTTGAATGAGACAGAGCCATCCGTTGCGATACCGACCTTCACAGGGTGCTGCACGACCAAGCTCACATTGCTGCGAGCCACATAGTCACCAGTGTTGAAAATCACAAACTGCTGTGGTGCAAGCAGCGAGGATGGTTCGATGGGTGCGGAGAACGTCAGTGCCAACCGCGCGTCGTTGACGCTGAGATCAAAGCTGACCAGCGTGGGAGGCGAGCTCTTGGCAACGAGAACTTCGGGAAACATGCCCATGGGCACTAAGCTCGGGTTGTCGTAGGCATCTAACACAAACCCTCGCACAAGGTTGATCCAGCACAGATTTTGAGTTCTGCACAGGCGTGTCTCGTCGAGAAGGCGGCTGAGGGTGCGTGGTCCCAAGGCAAGGACAAGCACGCTGCTGATTGTGGCAGGCGAGGTGGGGTACAACTCTAGCCCCCCGAGTTCAACATCTGGTGTGCGATAAAACGAAGCAAAGGTCAGTCGAGAGCTGTTGACAGATGCTGCCTGCACGGGCTCCGAGAACAGCAATTCAATCACGCCCGACGTGCGGTTTAGCAGTCGAACTTGCAACAACTCAGGTGGTGTGCTGTCAGCGATCACGACCGGGGCCAGCGTGCGCGGAACAACAGCATTGCCTGAGGGATCTGAAATCGCCCCAGCAGCGACTGAGACTAGGCAGGCCGATGTGTTTCGGCAAAGCGCCTGTGACTTGATGGGCTCGATAAGAGAAGCGGAGATGGGCAGAACAATGCTGGTCGCTCTCTCAGTCGTAACATTATTTGGCACCAACTGCTGCATCTCGTGAGCGTCTGCGATTGTAATCTCTGACACGTTGAGCGTGACAGGATCCACGACTTCACTAAAATCAAGTGTCAGCGTGAAGGCCTCGATGTTGAACTCCGCACCAACAACCCGTGGGCGGCGAACATCTGAGCTGACTTGGTCGATGGTTGCATTTGTCACTTGCAGTTCGTTCTGCTCAAAGTCCACAACGTAGGATACCAGGATGATGAAGAAGGTTTGATTTGCAGAAGCCTGCAGCTGTGCAGATACGGCGTTGAACTCGGGTGATGTCAGATTGACCGCAACAGCGCGAGGGTTTGAAGCACGAACAAATGGGACGCCGCTGAGCTGTGTCCGCTGTTGATTCACTTGCACTTCGGCGCTCGAGTCCAATAAGTTCACAAGCACGGGCTCGTCAAACTCCAAGACCACTTGCCTCGCACTCAAATCAAGAGAAGCAGTGACCAGTGTCGGGTGTGTCTGATCAAACGCCATGGATGTCGACACAAACACGACGGCGGAAGCGCCGTTGTGATTGAGATCCGTCACAAAGTCACTTGCACATGACAGGTATGCGCGGCTGTGCATCCCACGCTGCAACAGCTTCAAGTCGTCAAGAAGCGATGCCGGCAGGGTGCAGGACGCTTGGGTACCAGCGGTGTTTGCGAAGGAGCAAGAGATGTCGCCCAGATCCTTGGCTGAAGCTGAGTTTGCGGTGTCAAAGTACACAGCGCATTGGCCTGGCATCAAAGACGACGTGTCCACGGGTTCTGAGAAGGAGAGGGAGATGAGGCCTGCGCCGTCCATGCTCACGTTGAAGCTGACAAGCTCCGGCCGCACAAAGTCGCCGTAGAACGCACCCGCACCGCTATCAGCAGCAACCGCGCGCCCAAGCGGCACCCCAGCTATCCCGTTCCCAAACATGTCCCGCACGCTTCCACCATCAACACCCACGCGCGTCGTCGCCGCACTCACACACAGCGCAGCGTCAACCTTCACCGCCTCAAGGTCGCCGTGCCCAAGCTCAACAACAACGCTCGTCGACGCGTCGCCAGCAACGCCAACAACGCGCGTCCCCGCACGCCCAAGCCGCACAGCGTGCGCACTCGTCCCGTCGCCAGTCAGCACAAGCCCGCTCACATTCACGCTGCTCACCCGAACCGTCTCGCTGAAGCCAAGCCAGAGCTCCTCGCTCGTCAGGTTCAGCCGCACCGCCGTCAGCTCCGGGCGCACAACGTCACCCGCATAGGCGCCCACGCCAAGCCCCGCTCCCACGCCAACAGCGCGCACAGCGTTGCCCACAGCTGCCATGTCAACCACAGCCCCGCGCCCAACAGCAACATACGACGTGGCTGCGCTCGACACAAGCGGGTACAGCGCCTTGACCCTGTCCAGCTCCTCGCGCCCAAGCGCAATCACAACCACCGTGCTGTCGCCGGCACTGACAACGGTGCTCTCGCCCTCGCGCAGGCGGTACGCAATGGCGTCTGCCGCTGTTCCGTCTGCCTTGCTCTGCAGCACCACGTGGCTCACGTTCACGCTGCTCACCAGGACCGTCTCGTCGAAGCTCAGGGTGAGGGTGCCTGCGGTCATGTTGAGGGCGGCGCTGCGCACCTGTGGCGCCACGCTGTCTGCAACAAACGCATCCACCTGTCGAGCCGTCAGCCCGCTCACAAGCGGCACAACAGGCCTGCCACTTGTGTCGCGAACCAGGCGATCCGACGCAATGACAACGGTTGCACCTTGAGTGCGTCCGATTCGAAGGCGTTTGAGCTCGTTCAGCTCATCGTCTGTGGTGAAGAGAGTGACCTCAAATTGGTCCTGTGAGACACTGAAGTTGCTGTTGACAAGCGAGAGACTCGTTGCTGCAGCAATTGTCGTAGAGAGTGTGAGTTCTGAAGGGTGCACAGAGAGTGGGTCGATGGGCTCAGAAAAGTTCAGCGTCACTCTTCCGAGACGAGCATCAAACTTGGCGAACGTGAGGCGCGGTCTGTTCACATCGCCCACCACCTCCGCGGCACGCAAGGGCACACGCTGCGTCACAATCTCCGCTCGGTTCCCGGCCATGTCATCGATCATCTTTCCTCCATAGTAGCGCAGCTGCACGTTGTCGATGGCCACGCGCCCCGTCTCATTCTTGCTGAACGTGATACGCATGTTTTCGCCGCTGGCCGCCATTGCTGTGGACACCTCAAACTCCCGGTACACTTGGCTCCAGGAGCCGGTAATGCAGCACGCTTCCTCCACCGCCCAAGACTGCAGCAAGGTTTTATTGGTCGCAAGGCTGGCATTTAGCCCCGTGAATTCTTCGGCGTCAATGCGGTACCCGCGTGCGGTGTAGAACTCAAACGCATACACGCCCGCCTGAACTGTCCAGCTCAGCCCCTGTGTGAGTGAGGCCCCTGGTTCGGCGCCAGAGAGGAAGGCGAAGGCATCACCGAAAGGTGTCTGTGGAAACGCAGAGGCCTGGCAGCACCCACCTCTGATGCTGTTGCGCATGGTCGTGGGTGCACTGGAGAATGACCAGTGGTTGGCGGGGGCAAAGTCATCGCCGGGGCTTTCAAAGCCCGCGTTCTGCATAACAACGGGCTCCACGCGCGACGTCAGATAGAGGGTGCCGTTGTCGCGGATCATCCCGGGTCGGCGCTGCAGCTCAAACGCGTCTGTATCTGTCAGGTTCATGACGAGGTTCCCGGCAGAGTTTGCAACCACGGATCCCCCAGTCAGGGTGTATGACTCGTTCAGCTGTGGTGGCAGGGACGTGGAGAAGTGAATCGCGCCTGGATTCAAGCTGCTTCCGTTGACAGTCTCTGAGAAGGACAAGAAGAGCTGCTGTGCTGTCATGTCAAGGACGAAACTCTGGACCTGTGGTCGTGTTCTGTCGCCAACAAACTCGTCGATGGTCAAGTTGGTGCGACCGTTTGGAGTGTCCACTTGGTCAAGAACCGCGGCTCCGAGCAAGACCACCTGACAATCACCGTCTCCAACCCTGCACACGCTGGCCTCTTCCTTGAGCAAATTGAGGTCGTTCAGGCCAAGGTTCACCTGCAAAATGGGGCTGTCGGTTTGGCTGGACGTGGAGTCCAGTGTCAGCGACACCGGGGCCTGTGCCATCGCCTGTTCCGATTGCAACGCAATGCGTTCAACCTTCAAGGTGTCGGCACGAACAATCTCGTCAAACGTCAGGCGAAGCACTTCGTCGGTCAGATCTAGGGATGCTGACAGCAGCAGTGGGCTTTGTGTGTCTGGGAAGAGCGTGGACAAGGGCAGCACTGCGGTTGGCACAATGTCGTTGCCGCTGGCATCGGTGATGGACATCTCCAGACAAACAACGGTGACATCCGTGGCACTGCGGAAGCGCAGGAGCTTCACGTCATCCAGGTCAGGCGTGCTCAGGGAAATGTTGAGTGTGGTTGACAGCACAGTTGTGGTGACTTGGGAACGGGAGAGGGACGTGGACATGTTCCATGCCTCCCGCTGCAACAACACACCCGACAGGTTTGTCAGCTGCGGATTGACGACCTCATCAAAGGTGAGCACAAGGAAGCTGGCGTCCAGGTGAAGCGTGGCGCCGAGCAGGACCGGGGGCTTTGTGTCAACGGTGTACAGGTCGCATACCAGCGGGTCTGCTCGGTCAATGGCCTGTAGAGCGTTTCCGCTCATATCCAGCACAGCACCAGCGTCAGCAGCCAACACAATGTCGGACACCTGGGGTTCAGGTGGCAGCAGAGCACGAAGGCTGTTCAGCCAGTCGGCCTCCATCTGCAGCTGAATGAACGTGTTGTTGTCCGAGACCACAAACGCAGGACTGCCGAGATCAAGAAGCTCATCAAAGGTGTTGCCGATGTAGATGTGCGTCGGGTCGAGCGAAAGCGCGTGCACCGTCTCGTCAAAGAACAGCGTCACTTGAGCCGACGAAACGTTCAAGGCGAATGAGGTGAGGCGGGGCCGCACGGCATCCTGCACATATGAGGTGCACGGGAACCCGGCTCGATCGGAAATGCCCACCAACTCGTTGCCAAAGTAGTCTGCCACGCTGGCCGCGTCCATTGCCAAGAACGTGCTGGGGCGACCAACAGCCAACGTGATACTTTGGGTGACGGCATCCACATCTTCCTGAAGCATGTGCACGCGAAGGACGTGCATGTCCAAGTTCACGACTGACCCGCCACGCAGGCGACGTGTGGCACGGCAGTCAACGCCACCAGCTCCACAATCCGGTGCGTCAAGGAGGCGGATGCCAGACACATTCAGGGCGGCGCTGGCAATCGCTTCCGTAAACGTGAGGGTGAGTGTGTTGTTGTCCAGGTTCAGCACAAAGTCCTGTATCTCAGGGGGCACCGTGTCCGCGGTAACAGTCGCAAACTGGATGGCCGTCGCAGGTGCCGGGTTGGCAAACACATCGTGAACGAATGCGCCTGCAGCGACAATGGCGACAGGGCCCGGGAATCCGCCACGTTCAGCGTGTTTCTTGAGGCGGTTGGCATCCCTCCAGAGCAAATCAACGTAGACCACAGTGTGGTTGTCAGAGGATACCTCCCCGCCGTTGATGAGCGTGGCTGGTGACACGCGCGTCCCGTTGAAGTCTTCGGCAGCGGGGCCCACGATGGCACCGTACTGGTTCACACCAGCGTTGTTCACCGTGTTGAACCACCACCACCACGACTCGTTGTGTGGCGGCTGTGGCCCGAAAACAAGCAGTTGCAGGTCTGTGACAATAAGGCTTCCTGCGTCAACGGTTTCGTCAAACTGCAGTTGCAGCACGCTTGTGTTCACGTTCAAGTTGGCTTCAACCACCAAGGGCACACGAGAGTCCCTGACGTACACGTTCACTGGCATCGCGTTGGCCGGCGAACGCGGGGTGACTTTGTTGATGCGACGCAGGGGATCCTGTACCGGCACAAACTCCTCATCCAACAGCGTCATGTCGGAGACGAGGTTCTCCGGGAAACTCAGATACACGTACTTGCGCGCCTTTGCCAGGAACGCCAAGGCCTTGATGGCATTCAGATCCTCAACACCAAGCGCCACGCCAATAACGGTGTCGTCCAGCTGCGTTGATGTGGCTGCCCGAAGTGTGTATGCAGCGATGGGCGAGGCTGAGGCTGCCGTCTGCAACGTGAGCAGGGACGTGTTCATGGTGTCCGCACGCATGGTCTCAGAAAAGGTCAGGGACAGATGGCCACTCGTCATGTTCAGGCTGTACGCAACCAACTCAGGAGGCGTCGTGTCCTGCGTGAAGTTTGTGGGAAGCATTCCCTGCTCGAGCGTGACAGGCACGACCGGATTTCCGGCCGTGTCCTGCATCATCTGCGAGGAGATGGTCAGGTAGCAAGTGTCTGGCGAGACAGCAAGTTGCGTGTCCAGCTTCAGCTTGTTCCAGTCACTCGAGGCGTCCGTCAGATATGTGGGGAAGGTCAATTCAAACACGGTGCTGCGGCGCTGCGTTTGCGCACCCTGCGTGAACGTGAAGCTGCTGCGACTGCTACCTGCAACGCTGGTGTTGTGCGAGTGCAGGGTCACCGTTCCGGGCACGTATGACAGCGCCTCAATCACCTCGGAAAAGGTGAAGCGAAGCAGACCCTGATCCACGTCCAGTTCAAATGACAGCAGGTGTGGCGACGTCATGTCGGGCACATAATCACTGACTTGCAGTGCCGAGGTGGAAGGAATGGGTTCAATCTGCAGCCCACGCTCGTCTGTCGATATGCGCAACGTGAACCACAAAAAGGTTGTGTTCACGTTCTCCGCCAGCCCGCGCAGCTGCTTCAGCTTGTCCGTGTCAGCCTTTGTCAGCACAAACTCAAAGTCGTACCCGTCAATGCTCTCGGAGTATCCCCCGGTGAGCTGCCGGTGTGGTACCTCTGTCAGCGCGGCGTCAGCGTTGCTGGTGTTCTGCAGCGTCATCTCAGTGTACTGCAGAGAGGACGCTCGGTGTACGTCATTGAAAAACAGGTGCATGCTCGCGCGCGTCTCCGTAAAGTTCATGTTGAGGGCGAACGAGTCGACGCCCACAAACAAGCCGTCAAATGCATACGAGGTCGCCTGAAGTGCAGAGCTGCTCTGGATGGGGGCTGCCAGGTTGCCGCTGACGTCGCGAATGACCTGTGCAGTCACAGACATGAATGTCTTAGCCCTCGAGAAAGCAATCTCGGGTGCGAGCTTGATCGCCCGCTTGTCCACCAGTGACCACTCGTACAAGATTTGGCGGAGATCAAGGCTCTGCCACAGGACGCTGCCGCCCGTCTGGGTGTAGGTGTCCGCAGATGCACCGTCTGCGCCAGACTGCCACGTAATCTGTGTCAGATCCAGCGTGGTCACATTCACCGCCTCGTTAAAGGTGAGGTGCACGCGCCCCGTTTGCATGTCCACGGCAAAAGAAAGAAGCTCGGGCGCGATGGCGTCGCGCACATACTTGCTGACCTGCACTGTCTGAGCTGGCAGCTCGTTGCCGTACATGTCCGAGATGGGCGACGCTGCAAACTCAACGAAGCAGTCGTTGATGCTCGTACACAACCGCGTGTTGTTCTGGAGCAAGCGCACGTTGGCGGCGTTGAACCGCAGTGCCACCTGTGCCTCATTCTCTGTGGTGAGCACAGTCCCGCCAGTCACCTTCACGCTCTGCTCTGGATTGGCTGCGCTGGAGTGGAAGGTGAGGGTCCTTGGGTTCAGCGTGGAAAACCGAACCACCTCGTCGAAGAACACGGTGATGGAGGTGGCGTTCATGTCAACCGTAATGTCCCAAACATACGGGTGCTGCACGTCGGCGAAGAGCTGCAGCGCCTGGTCCGCGTCATCAAACACGTCCTGCAGAGCTGGGTCCACCCGGTTGCCAAACACGTCTTCAATCAACAGGGGTGAAAAGCGCACCCAGCACTGGGAAATCAGCTCACACAGCGTCTCCTCCTGCTTGACGTGGTTCACGTCCGGCACAGAGGGCGTGATCTGCACCCACGTCTGGTCGGCAGACACGTGGCGGATCGAGGCCGCAGCCGTCCCAACCTTCACCAGCGGCACAGACAAGAAGTCACTGGACCTGTCGCGGAAGTTGTCGTGAAGCTCCAGCGCTGTGGCGTTGAATGTCGACAGCACCACTGGCTCGTCAAAATGAAGCTCCAGCGTGCCAGAGCTCATGTTGTAGGAGAAGAAGCGGAGAAGCTGAGGCGCCGTGGTGTCGGGGATGTACACAAATGGCTGTAGCAGCACGCTCGCGCCATCTTGAAACTGAAATGATGCCATGTCCCTCACGAGCCCGTTGCCAAACCTCAAGTAGCAGTCTGTGGACCCAACGAGGCAGATGGAGAGACGCTTCACCGCATTCAGGTCCACGATGGTCAAGGCAACAGACAGCGTTGTACCGTATCCAAAACTCGTGGTGCCGCCGCTGAGCTCTTCCTGTCCAAGGTAGACAGGCACAGTGCTAGAACCGCCGGTGCCAACAAGGGAAAAGACGGTGGCATTCGCCGAAGTCGCCATGTCCTGGAGCATGATGTGATCAACCAGCAGGGTGCTCCGGTTCACAGGCTCATCAAACGTCAGGTGCAGTCTGCCAAGATTCATGTCCACGCTTGCTTGCAGCACGGTGGGCGGAACAGCATCCGCCACGTACGTAGCCACTTGCTGTGCAGCCGCAGGCGTAATTGCTTGCAAACCAAACCCCCGCATGTCTTTCATTAAGGTGGAATCAACACTGAGGTATGTGGAGCTGGCATCAGTGGCAAGGGCGGCAAGTTCCTTGATGCTGTTGATGTCGTGCACGGACATGTTCACCCGCACAATCGTGGAATTGAACGTGGAGCCAACCGTAAATGTGTCGCGGAGAAGGCTGTCTGGGCCGCCCCAGGAGAGCCGATAGGACACAGCACCAGCAGCGGTACCATCACGCATGTTTTGCAGCGTCGCCCCTTCAATATCCAAGGTGGCTGCATGAACAACTTCCGAGAACGTGAAGGAGATAACACCACTCTGGTCCTCCAGACTGATGTCCAAGTCGAAGCTGACAAGTTCCGGCACAGTCGCATCATCAACGAAACTGGCCACTGCTGCAGCTGCTGCCGACGATACAGGAACGATGGAATTGGAGTTCATGTCGGCGACAAGACTTGCTGAAAAGGAAAGGAAGGTGGTCGACGATGACACGACAAGACCAGGCGTGGCAAGAAACTTCAACTGATCCAGGTCTTCGACGGAAGGGACAATGTGCAGCACAGGGGTCGCGACAGTGGTTGTGCTGAATGGTAGAATGCTCCCCGTCTGAAGCGTATGTGAAAGAGCGCTAGAGCTGGCAGAAGACTGCAGCACAAGCTGAGACACATGGAAGGTCGATGCATTCACGGGCTCTGAGAAGGAGAGGGAGATGAGGCCTGCGCCGTCCATGCTCACGTTGAAGCTGACAAGCTCCGGCCGCACAAAGTCGCCGTAGAACGCACCCGCACCGCTATCAGCAGCAACCGCGCGCCCAAGCGGCACCCCAGCTATCCCGTTCCCAAACATGTCCCGCACGCTTCCACCATCAACACCCACGCGCGTCGTCGCCGCACTCACACACAGCGCAGCGTCAACCTTCACCGCCTCAAGGTCGCCGTGCCCAAGCTCAACAACAACGCTCGTCGACGCGTCGCCAGCAACGCCAACAACGCGCGTCCCCGCACGCCCAAGCCGCACAGCGTGCGCACTCGTCCCGTCGCCAGTCAGCACAAGCCCGCTCACATTCACGCTGCTCACCCGAACCGTCTCGCTGAAGCCAAGCCAGAGCTCCTCGCTCGTCAGGTTCAGCCGCACCGCCGTCAGCTCCGGGCGCACAACGTCACCCGCATAGGCGCCCACGCCAAGCCCCGCTCCCACGCCAACAGCGCGCACAGCGTTGCCCACAGCTGCCATGTCAACCACAGCCCCGCGCCCAACAGCAACATACGACGTGGCTGCGCTCGACACAAGCGGGTACAGCGCCTTGACCCTGTCCAGCTCCTCGCGCCCAAGCGCAATCACAACCACCGTGCTGTCGCCGGCACTGACAACGGTGCTCTCGCCCTCGCGCAGGCGGTACGCAATGGCGTCTGCCGCTGTTCCGTCTGCCTTGCTCTGCAGCACCACGTGGCTCACGTTCACGCTGCTAACCAGGACCGTCTCGTCGAAGCTCAGGGTGAGGGTGCCTGCGGTCATGTTGAGGGCGGCGCTGCGCACCTGTGGCGCCACGCTGTCTGCAACAAACGCATCCACCTGTCGAGCCGTCAGCCCGCTCACAAGCGGCACAACGGCCTGCTCATTCATGTCCCATGCCGCCGCTGCGCTCAGCACCACAAACGTTGTGCTGGCACTGCGCCCAACACCAACCCGCTTCAGCTCGTTTGCGTCGGCCTCCGCAACCTGCACCACCATCTCCGTGCCCGGATCGGCTGTCACAAGCTGCGACCCGCGCAGCGCAACAGAGGCCCCGTTTCCGTCAAACGCGCTCTGCAGGAAAATTGCGCTCACGTTCACGCTTTCCGGCGCAATGGGCTCGCTAAACACAAGCGCAAGCTCGAGCGACGACATGTTCACACGCGCCTGCACGACCCGCGGCGCCGTTACATCGTCAACAAACTGCTCCGCCCGCAGCACGCCAGACACGGCGTTGTCGTTGCCAGCAGCATCTTGCACTGCTCCAGCCACAAGCTGCACGAAAGTGGTGTTGACGGCTGTGGCGAGCACTCGATCAGCCTTGATGGCGTGCGCCAGGCTCACCTCAAGCCCAACAACCACCCGCTTGCTCGTGCCGTTGCTCACGACGGTCGTCTCGGCAAGCAGCTTCTCGCTCACGCCAGCGCCGCCAAGCACGCCCGCGCTTGCAAGTACGCCGCGACTGCCATTCCACGTGCCCGACCGCACAGGCTCGTCAAACACCAGATACACCTCTGCGTCATCAAGGTCAAGGCCAAACCGCATCAGCCGTGGCGCAGTCACATCTGCGCGCACCTCTGCTGCCGCTTGCCGCGTCTCACTGACCCCGTTGCCAAACGTGTCGAGCACAGCCCCACTTGCGAGCCCAATAAACGTGTTGCTGGTGCTGGTCGCCACATCGTCAGATGCCTTGAGCGCATCCACTGTCGCCTTGTCCACAGAAATAACCACCATCTGCGTTGGCAGGGCGCTCTGAACCACCGTGCTCGCAGCGAGCTCGCCCACAGCAACACCGGCGCCAGGCACCACAGGCCCGACCGCTGCTGCAGAGGTGCTGCTCACACGCACCCGATCCAGTCGCACACTACCCGTCAGCACAGGCTCATCAAACTCGAGGGTCACCGTGGACGTGTTCATATCCAGCGTGAATCGCTCCAGGGATGGCGCAGCGCTATCTGCCGTAAACACAGCACACCCAAGTGTTCCGGCATGGGACGGGTTGCCGTTCAGGTCCTCCACAAAGCCAGCACCGACGCTCACCGCGCTGGTGTTGACCGATGTCCACACGCCAACCTCCGTCTTGAGCACGTTCAGGTCTGCCGTGCTCAGCGCAATCGTCAGCCACATGCCCGTGCTGTTTGCTGCCTTGCTCGATTCAAGCTGCAGCAGGCCCGTGCCAACACCAACAGGGACTACCGCGTATCCTGCAGCTGCCACGGCCTCGGCTTGGCTGGCCGTGGTCGCGTCGCCGCTGTGCGCCACGAGCAGGCTCAGGTTCACGCTGCGGCCGTACGCGGGCTCGTCCAGTCGCAGCTGCAGCTCCCCGTTCATGTCCAGCCGGCACTCCTCGATGCTGGGGCGCGACGTATCAAACACAATCCGGTCAACCGTCACGTTTGCGGCGGCAAAGTCGTTGTCGTTGTGGTCCACAACAAAGCCCTCCGGCAATCCCACGCGCACGTCGCTGCTGTCCGGCAGCCTCCCCAACACCTCCACTGCCCGGTTGAAGTCCGTGTCATACAGCGGCATCGTCACCGTTCGTCCGTCGCTGCCGATGGTGGCGCTGCTCGGCTCCAGCACATCGTACTTGCCCGTCGCAGTGCTCATAATTCCCACCTTCAGCTGGCTCCCAGTAATCGCCGTTGCGATTGTTTCGTCCAGCCTGATAGTGACATCCCGACTTTGCAAGTCAATTGTCACGTTTACGACGTTTGAAGCTTGTTCATCCTGGGTGTATGTGGTGATGGGCAGCGGTGTGGCAGTGCCGTTGATGGCGTTGCCTTGCCAGTCATACACAGCGCCAGCCAGCAGGCGCACAAACGTGTCCGTACTCACAACGTCCACGTCAGCGGTGGTGCCAGCGACAATACGCTGCACAATTGTCGGTGTTGCGAGTCCATCCGTCGCCTTGAGCGCATCAAGGTCGGCAGCACCAAGCACAATGTCCACAGCTGTCAGGCTCTGTCGCGTCACATCACCAGCAACGAGCTGGCGCGTGTGCTGCACTGCACCGCCATTGACACCATCAGCATCTTGCACGACAACGCGGGTCACATTCAAAGCAGCCGCCTGTACCGTTTCATCGAATGTCAGCTGCAGCAGCCCGCCGTTGACGCCGTGGTTCAGGCTCAGGCTGAAGCTCACCAGCGCCGGGGCACGCGTGTCGCTGACATACGTGTGTGCCTGCACGCTGTGGCTGTCCACAACGGCGTTGTCGCTGGTATCGGTGAGGGCGCCGGCCTCCACCAGCAGCCAGCTTGTGTCGCCGCTCAAGAGCAGCGGCGCCGCATCCTTGATGCTGTTCATGTCGGAGACGTCGAGGTGGATCACCGCCACCCGCGATGCACTCACGCCCTCAAAGTTGCCCAGTGCAGCCACGTCCGGCACAAGCTCCACGCGGCAGGCGCTGCTCAGCCTGTGCGATGCAAAGGCGGTGCTTGCAGCCTGCGTGCCGTTTGATTGCACAACGAGACGGGTCACGTTGATGCTAGCGGTGAGGACGGGCTCGTCAAACGTCAGCGTGAGCTGCCCTTGCTGCATGTCGACCGCCAGGCCCACCAGCGCCGGCGCCACCGTGTCCCCAGCAAATGTGGAGGCGCGCAGGGCGCTTCCGTCCACAACGGGCTGCACGGGGTTGCCCTCCAGGTCAGCAAAGGCTGTGCTGGAGACGGTGAGGTAAGTGGTGTTGCGCGAGGTGGCCAGCTCGGGCCGCAGCTTGAGCGCTGCGAGATCGTCTGCGCCGAGCGACACGACAAGGCGGGTCAGGTTCACCACGCCTGCCGTGCTGCCAACAACAGATGCCGTCGGCGCGCGAAGTGCCACCGACCGGCTCGTGTCCAGGCGCCGCTTCGTTTGGAACTCCTGCAGTGTGATGTTCGTCACGTCGACGGTCATGCCATTGATCGGCTCCGACACGAGCAGTTCAAGTCTTGCCCTGTCCACATTGAGGGAAAATCCCGTGATCACTGGCGAGACCGCGTCCTGCAACAGCCGCAACTGAACCACCTGGGCAGCATTTGCATTGCTCGCCGTATCGTTGAATGTGCCCGCGCTCAGGTTCAATGAGACGGTATGACCGTTCAGCTGCGCAAGGGCAATCTCATACCCGGTTTCCCTAGTGAGTGAAAACTGTGTTGTTGTCTTGTTGACCCGAATTGGTAACGCGTTGCTCTCGACCGCAATGACTTGGCTTGAGTTCAACACAACAAACGTTGCCCTGGCAACTGCAATGCTGAGGAGGTCAATTGGCTCGTCCGTGGTGATGATGAGGGTCTGGAAGTCTGAGAGATCGAATGTGGCCGCAAAGACCACTGGTGCACGGACGTCCTGCCCCACGACAGCCACCGACAGCGTGCGTGCTGGCATTGGGCGTCCAAACGAGTCCTGCACGAAAGCTGCGGTTGTCTGAAGCTTCGGCACAGCGGCCCCCATCAGGTACAGCTTGACGAAGTTCAACGTGTCCACACTCAGCTTCATCTTGACTGCGTGGGTGGACGTTGCTGAGACGACGACATCGCTGGCGGTGAGTTGTTTGCTGTATTGGCCGAGTTGGAGCGTCGCCTCCTCCTGCAGGACTGAGGTGAAGCCCAAGACATCTGTGCCTTCCACAATGAGGAACCCCGATGTCATGTTGAGGGTCGCACTGGTGAGGATGGGCACGGACGTATCCGCAACAACGTCAATGCTGGTCAATGAAGTCGCAGCAAGTGCATTGCCAGCTGTGTCGTTTGCTGCTGCTCGTGGCAGCTGCAAGTCAAAACGAGCTGTCGTGTCGCCCTCTGCAAGGTCAAAGGCGGCCTTGATTTGGTGAACAGAGTCCTCAGTCCAAGCGTAGACAAGGGTCATGGAGAGCGCGTCCACGACGGCCTCAAACTGCAATTGCAGGGGCAGCGACAAGGACTGATTTGACAGTGTTGCCGTGAATGTCTGTACGCCACGCACTGGCTCTGAGAAGACGAGCTGGAGCTTGTTGTTCTCGGCGTCGAGTGCTGCTGAGGCGGCGCGGGGAGGCAGCTGGTCTGCCTGGAATGGCACTGCCGCTATCACCGCAGGTTGAACGGCGGACACGACCAGCTGGTTTGGCTGCGCCGCCATGTCCTGGACCAGGCCCTCAGGGGCGGCGATGAACGCCGTACTGGCGTCATCAAACAGAGCGGGCGTGGCCTTGAGTTCAAGCGCATCTTCTTGGCTGAGAACAACAGTCGCATCCAGGTACCCGGCGAAAACTTGGCCACCTGTGAGCGTGTAAGACGGGCACCCTAGGGAGGCGTTGCTGCAGCCAAGCAGCGTGAAGCCCGCGGCAAGGAAAGGCCGTACTGGCTCGTTAAACGACAGGCCGATGCGAAGGCTGGACATGTTGGCGGATGCACTCAGCAAGACGGGCGGCACCACGTCTGGCACGAACAGGACGGGAAGCAAGGGTTCCGCCACAGTGGTTTCGCTGGGGTTGCCTGCAATGTCCACGACGGCTCCATCCGTCAACACAACGTGGCAGTTGCCAGGCGTGGTGCAAAGCCCATCCTGGGCCTTGATGAGGTTCAAGTTGTCAGGGTCAAGGCTGACGTCGAGCACGAGGCCTTCGTCGCTGGCGGAGAAGTTGGCAGACACCACAGCACATGGGCAGTTGCCAAGGCTGTCCGTGACCAGGACCATGGTGAGGTTATTGGCGCGCACGGGCTCGTCCGCCTGCAGGACCACGCTGCCGGAGGTCATGTTCCAGGTCAGCACTTCCAAGCCTCCGGGCGGCGTGGTATCTGGGGTGATGGCTGAGACGGTGGCGTTTGTGGACAGGGGAAGCGCCAGTCCCGCCATGTCCTGGATGAGAGCAGACGGCAGAGCCGCGCCGGGGTCTGCAGAAACGAGTGTGCAGGGTGTGGCTGGCAACTGCGCACACGACCTGCTAAGCTTCAGCGCATGCAGGTCCGAGAGCGCCAGGGTCCACGCAATTGTGTCAAACGCAGGCTGAGCGACCACTCCTTCCAGCGCTGGTGCAAACTGCAGTGTTGCTGGCGAGGGCGCAAGTGATTGTGAAACGAGACGCAGGCCGCTCGGGTTGAAGGAGGTAAGGTTGACGCCTTCGCTGAACTGGACGCGAAGTTGGCCAGCGTTGATGTTGAGCGTCACGTTGAGGATGGCGGGAGCGGTGATGTCTGGGGACCAGGACGCGACCGCAAGTGGGTCGTTGGCGGGAATATCGCGCATGATGTTGTTGGCAAAGTCGCGGCCAATGGGGATGGAGATGGCGGCCCGGACGTACTCGTGCTCCCAGCTGAGGTAGCAGGTGCTCACAGATGCGCAGATGCCAAGCGTGAGGGCGTCGAAGCGGTCTGCTTCCTCGAAGGAAACAACCAATGTGCGGCTGGACGACTCGTTCACCAGAAGGCTTGCTGAATCGAGGACCTTCGTGTCTGCATCAACGGCGCCACTGGTAGGGCTCGCAAGCAGCCTGATGCGCGACGCCTGGATGGTGCTGAGCTGCACAACCTCGGAGATGTTGAGGGTGATGCGGCGAGTGTCAAGGTCGAGTGTCCAGCTGGTCACGCGGGGAGCCGTTGCGTCGCCAATGAAGACGCTGATGTTGAAGGGGCTGGGTGGGGAGATGATTTCAATCTCGTTGGAAGCAACATCTGCCACAAACTTGCCCGTGGAGAAGAGGAGGGCATTTGCTGCGCTGGTGGCGAGGGACGGTCGCGCTTTGATGACGTCTGTGTCGGGTCTTCCCAGGACGATCGACACGGTCTGGTTGTACCGGCTGGTGCTCTCGTGCCAAGGGTGGACGCGTGCTGCCCGCAGAGCGTACGTGAAGTTGTCGGATGGGTCCACGAGGCCGAGCAGTAGCGGCTGCATTGTGGAGATGTTGACAACCTCGTTGAACGTCAGGTGAAGCATGGAGGCATCCATATCCAGCAGCGCCTCGGACACGCGGGGCGGCGTCAAATCAGCCGTCCAGTTTGCCACGCGAATGGCATTTGCATCAAGCACGGGATTGCCAAACACGTCGGCAATGGCGTTATCTTCGAGCAGCAGGTGCGTGCTATTTGGGTCTTTGCCAAGGCGCCGCTTCAGCCGCAGATCTTGCACATCCTCTTCCGTCAGCTGCACCTCAATCTGATCCGAGTTGCTGTTGATTTCCCCCCCTGAAGCCATGTCCAGCCAGTGCACATAAGAGATCATGGATGAGTGGTTGCATGGTTATGTGTTTGTGTTCGTGTTCGTGGTTGCGTGTGCGCACGTGTTCATGGTTGCGGTTGCGTGTTGAGAAAGCATGTGAGCTTCAGCACCCAAAGGTGCTGAGGTATGTTGAGAAATTGGGTGGGATGTGTGTTTTGGTGTGAAGCGCTGCAGCAAGCGAGGATACAGGACATGGTAGGCTGGTTTCCAATAATGCATGTAGGTGTGTTGTGATGTGCACTTTTGTTGCTCGTGGGGCTGGCAAGCGAAGCTTGCAAGCAAACCAGCTGAGCAAGACACGTGTGCAGAAGTGGCTTACGTGGTGGGAGGACAAAGACGATTGTTTGTGTACTTGTGACGTCAATGGGTGATGATGCCGAGGCAAGGTCAAGGCTCAAAGTGAAGGTGCCCGGCTGATCCTGGGTGACGTTTGCAAACGCACGGCCGCGGTGCAGGGTGTATGGCGTGGAGGAGAGCAAAGCACCCGCCTGCGACACCTTGAAGATGAAGGAGGTGTTTGCGCTCGTTGCCACGTTGTCGTACTGGTCGCGAGCCTGTACAGCGGCTTGGATGGTCCGGTTGACGAAACCGTCGGTGGGGTCGATAATGACGAGGCTGCGAACGCGACCGGGGGAAACAAGAGCTTGGCGTGGTGCTGAAACCGCAAAGCCAAGCGAGTTCTGCACGGAAAACTGACGGATGCCTGGGGTCGGCGTGGTAAACACAGCGACGCCGCTGCCATTCTGGATGGTCACAGAGAGGGTCTGCTCCACCACCGTTCCGTCGGATGCCTCGAGGTTGACGACGCCCACGGTTGCCGCAAGGCCGCGTGCATTCGGCTGCTGGTTGCCGTGTTGGTCCAACGCGTCCACGCGCAGAACTGCGGCTTCGTCAACGGTGAAGTTGGCAACGGGGTTGAGCGAGATTGTGGTGACGGCACCGGGTGCAAGGGAGAACTGTGTGAGGGAGGACGGAAGACCACGCGAACTCCCTGTTGCACGGTACGCGCCAGCGGTGGTCAGCGACAGCTGAAACATGGCCTGGCCACCCATGGCTGTCAGCTGAGCCGAGGTGTTTTGCGGACCAAAGACGTCCAAGGCAAGTGTCCTGTTGAAGAAGTCAACCAAGTTGTCGTACGCGTCGAGTGCAGATACTACCACGTATGTGTCTCCATCTGCAACGGGTGTTCCCATCACAGTTGTGCTCAACTGTGTCGCATTGCCTGCCATGTGCGTATGTGTGTGTGTTTGTTTGTATGTGGGATGAGCGGGTTCACGCGGCAGCGTTCACTTGGGGTTGCTGGTTCACGTGGGGTTTGTGTCCAAGGGCGCGCCGTTGGGATTCTCGCCACAAATGCATGCATGACAGGCGCGCGGCTTCGCAGGTACATGTGTCTTATGTCACATCGCGTGGAACACAGGTGATGTGCTTGTGTGGTGCAGCAAGAGTACGCACGACACACATACACACACAGGAAGGTTCACACTTCGTGTTGCAGCAATAGCGATGCCAATGACACCATACCTGGCTGGATAGTTACATCAATGGTGGCATCTAAGGAAGAGGCAAGACCAAAGGATGCAGCAATCTGGTAGGTGCCGGCCGTTGTGAGCACAAAGGTCGTTGCCTGCTGGCCGCTGTTGAGCAACAGAGACTGTGGAAGGACGGGAGCCACGACACTCGAGGTGGCGCTGAGCACAAACGCATCCGACGCATTGACAATGGTGTTGTTGAACTGGTCGACAGCGCGAGCGGCGACGTTTAGCGCGTTGCCTGCGACTGCCGTTGGTGCAGCGACCAACTCCGTCCTGTGCCACACATCTGCGGTAATTTGGATTTCAACGAGAGAACATCACAAGCTTGGCATGAGACTGCGTGATACATTGAAGCAAAGTACCAAGAGTACAAGGGTCAACAGTGTGTTACCCCACAGCTGCGCATCGGTCGTGCAACCCTCCATTCACGTAAGACTCAACAAACATACGCACAAGCACACACGCACAAGCACACACGCACAAGCACACACGCGCACGGTGCATCACCTCGACTATCACCGCCATCATGCACCATTACACCATACACCACACACATTCCACTGGTGGAGGCCACTTCGCACACCACACACAACTGCAAAAGTGTTACTGCTACGGACCTGGCTTAACAGTCAGTGACTGCTGTCCAGCAGCCACAACGCCGCCGGGAAGCGTTTCGTCAAGAGTCACGGTGATCACCTCTGCTGCTGTGGGTGTTGCTGTTGCCGAACCAACGCCATTCACAAGCGTAACCGGCACGACGAAGCTGCCCAGGCTGGCGCTGGCTACCTGGAGACTGACGGTGCTGTCGAGGATGGCGGTGTTCTCAAACTGATCTACAGCGCGGATGTCAGCTCTAACGTCCTGTCCGGCAATCACTGTGCTTGGAACGCTCGAGAACTCAACACCGACAGGGCCGTCTGACGCAAGCCCATGCCCAAAGTGACGGTGATGACACCAATGTGATGAGTCCAAGACGATGGTAGTGGGGTGGACATGCGCAGTTGTGTGTATTTGTGTACTTGTACAATTGTGTGTGTGCGTGTGTGCGTGTGTGTGCGAACACTTGCAACATTCGGTCATCACGTGCGACACGAGTAAAACATGGGGTTCCATGCCTTTGGTTCAACTCGAGAACTCAACTGCATACTATACAGCCGCTGCATACACAAGCAAACACACACGCACACGCACAAGCACACACACATACACACACACACACACACGAGAACCACACTTGGAATTCACACCTGCGACGAAGAGGATTGAGGTTGTGTTGGATGTGCTGATGCCGGTGTGCAGACGATCGAGAAATGACAGGGTGATTCGCTCAGCGACGTTGTCTCGGATTCGAATCGTGCCTTCGCCGGCAAAGACGCTCACATCGCCTTCGCCAGCGGCAGCACCATCCAGCGCAACGTACACGGTGGTGTCCAGTGGAAGCAGTTGGCCCGCTCGGTTCACAACGGCAATGTCAATTGCCTGACTGGTACCCACGACAGCTTGCGTGGGCCAAGACGAAAACTCAAAGTTGGCGTCGCGGTAAAACGTCACGACGAGGGAGTCCGTGGGCTGGCTTGAGACGTCGCCCGTGGTCAGCTGCACATCGATCGAGCACACCTGCGGCGTGTTGCTGTGGATGGTGATGTCCAGCACGCCCCCACCAAAAGAAGAGGTGGTGGTGGTTGTCAGCGTCGTGCAGTTGGTGTCGATGCTTGCACCTCGCGCCTCGTGCGTGGCTGCATTGCCAAAGGCATCAAATGCGCGCACTGTCAGGAACACGTCGTCCCCTTCAACAGCATGATTGGAGAAGCGGCTCTTGACGTCATCCAACCCAAGGTCGTCAAATACGATGCTCTTCGTGGGCCCTGCAACCAAGCAATTGTGTTTGCGTGCGTGCGTGTGTGCGTGTGTGTGTGTGTGTGTGCGTGTGTGTGTGTGTGTGTGTGTGTGTGTGTGTGTGTGTGTGTGTGTGTGTGTGTGTCGTG